CACACTTTACATTACAGTACACATGCTACGGATAAAGGAGAAGTGTGTAACAATGTAACGAATCGTTTTCTTGAGTCGGATCTTTTCATTTAAACAATTGAACAAAACTGGTCTGACTGAACGATTAATTTACGAATTGAATTGAACCAGGGGTGTGCGAGGCGGTCAGAGAAAGATCTTTTCGGATTTGTACGACTCGCAATAATCCAGGTAAATGGGATAGTTCACTCAAAAACAAAAATTTGCTGGTAATTTACTCAACTTCAGGATAACTTTTGCAGAACAGTAAAGAAGATTTTTAGCTGAAACCATTGTCCTTGGTGATTTATAAAATGTAAGTCAATTGCTACCGGCACTTTGAGAGTCCAAAAAAGCATATCAGGCAACACAAAATGAATACCCGTGGCTACTGGCGCTATATTGAGGTCTTCTGAAGCAAAACGATTGGCCTGTGCAAGAAACTGAACGTTATTTACAACCTTATAGCCTGTAATCCATAGCCGTAGGTAAATGTCCGATTCTTTTCCGGGAACTGGTTCTTTTGGAGAGTTCATTTCAATGAACTGGTTCAAACAAGTGATTCACTAGTTTGCTTACGTACGGAATGATGTAAAATAATTTTTTTTATTATTAAGCATCCAATAATGATGTGAAACGCAGAGGTTTTACATAGTGAATAAACTAGTCTTAATCAACTCAATTTTTACGTAAACTATGAGAAGCCATAAAAACTTAAATTTTGCTCCTTTATTCAAGTGTTTGGTTCACGCATGTTTGTATCAGCAGCTCATCAGTTCTTTGGTTCAATTCCAAACTGTTTCCTCAGTTCAGTGTATGGTTGGAGGAACTGGAGCACTAAATGAGTTGGCAAAAACCAGCATCATAGGATCATATACACCGGTATAATCCTCAGAGCGACTGCCGGTGTTGTGCCCATTTTCGACCCCCTGGCAAATTATTACCCCCCTCGTTGAAATCGCTACCTGATTGCCTAATCCTAACCCCGCCCCTAATCCTAACCCTAACCCCTCCCCCACACCTAACCCTAAACCTACCAATACTAGGGGGGGTAATAATCTGGCAGGGGTCAGAATTGGGCACAACACCGGTCATGTCCAAAAGTGAGCTTTGATTGAGTAACTTGTAGACCTGTGCTGCTCTGGCTGCAGACTGTTTCAGAAGGTTTAGTCTGATTTGGTGAACTGATTAATCCAGTTCACTAAAAAGAACCGGTTCAAAAGAATTATTTGTTTGACCAACTGGACATCACTCTGGACCGTTTGACTGAGGCTATGAATTACAGGTAATAATGCTGTAAATAATGTATTGTCAGATAGACCTCAATATTGCCAGGAGCCACGGGTATAAATTTTGTGCTGCATGATATGCTTTTTTTGAGTCTCAAAGTGACGGTAGCCATTGAGTTTCACTTTATGAATCACCAAGGATCAGGTTTCAGCTAAAAAACGTATTTATTGTTCAACTGAAGAAAAAAGTCAAATTTTGAATGGCCTAAGGATGGATAAATTAACAGCAAATTTTCATTTTTGGGTGAACTACTTCTTTAACAACTCAATTAACTGAGAACCGTCTTGCTCGAACATGTCCAAATCGACTTGTAATGAGTCGAGAACCGATGAGTGAGCTAATAGTTAAAGCATTTGGAGTCATATGAGAAAAGAAAATAACTTTAATAGCCAAATAGAAGAAATGTTACAAACAAAATCGTAGGCCTACTGGAAATGTGTGAGTTTTATTAACACATATAAAACAGAACAGGTTTAAATAGTTTGTTATTATTATTTGTAGGTTTATAGAGTTTTTTTAAATAGACTTTCGTAAAGAACAAGACATCGTTTCATAGTTGTTAAGGATGGGAGCTTACTTAATTATGTATACGTTTGTGGTAAAAATTGAGGAATGCAAAGGCTGACCACATGCCAAACTTTTATAATGCGCAAGACACCCAAAGTACTTCAATATAACCTATCTTAATTGTGATAGTCACAAGAACTTAAGGCTAATTCATACTGCCCCAACAAATGCCTGGTGTTAACACACTGATCCAACAAAACCCAACAATTCTTGTTGGGGCAGTGTGATCTAGCCTTATAATTTATATTGTGGTGTGAATGTGGTAGAGTTATAACGTTCCACTAACAAAATATCTTCAAATGTCAGAAAGTCAGTTAGACAATCAATTTTACATGGACATCAAACACGTGAAGTTTCAGGGTTGATTCTGGCAGTCTGCTGTGACCTCTAAGGCATGTGTTGTGGGATAATTACATTATATAAAAGCTAAATGCAAAACACATTGTGCAAAGTGTGCACGAGTAATGCACAAATAATTTGCAGGCCTTGAGGGTTTAATAATGGAGTTGCACAGTCACAAGAACAAGCCTCTTGCCTTTTCTCTTTCTAGCCCAAACCTGGTCATTCCTCACAAAAACGAGTCCCCAAATGACATCACCTCCCAGAGCTTGAGGCCTCGACAGTTCAGAATGTATCACATTACAACTTAAAAGCTTAGATTCAAGAGAATGTGTTTAAAAATGTAAAATCAATACACTCTATAAAGAGAAGCTGATATGATGGCATGGCTATCCATTCCTGGTAGCCTAACAGACAGAGCTGTAGTGGGATGAGACTGTGGAATTCCTCTGAGGAACCTCAAGAGCGTCACTTCACACAGGCTCATCTCTTATCTCATCTCTCATCACTCTTCTACAAGACAGTTCAGAGCAACAGGCACAGGATTTCCCCACTAATAGTTCCAGCATGTGCTCTGTTCATTTGAGACTCTGCATGGTGTAATGCTGTAAATAAGGTCATTAGTCAGTGAGCATTACATCTCTTCCTGGGCTGAATGACTTGACCAAAAAAAAAAAATATATATAACAAATAAAAAAAAAATACAGTAACACAGTAAAAAACCAAAATATTGTGACATGTTATTACAATTTTAAATAACTGCCTCCATTTGAATATATTTAAAAATGTAATTTATTCCTGTGATGCAAAGCTGAATTTTTAGCAGCCATTACTCCTTCAGAAATCATTCTAATATGCTGATTTGGTGCTAAAATATTTCTTATTATGATCAATGTTAAAAACATTAATATTTTGTGGAAACTGTGACACACCATTTAAGAGTTTGAGGTAAGAAAGTTTTTTTTCTTAAAGAAATTAATACTTCAGCAAGGACACAGTTGATCAAAAGTGACAAAGACATTTATATATATATATATATATATAATATTGCAATTTCAAATAAATGCTGTTCATTAAACATTCTATTCATCAAAGCATCACAAAAATGTATTGTTATTCATGTAGCAAAAAATATGTTGTCAACATCGATAATAATAATAATAATAAGAACCATTAATATTAACTGAACCCCAATAATTATTTGGGCACCAGATCAGCATATTAGAATAATTTCTTCAGGATCATGTGACATTGAAGACTGACTGCTGAAAATTCTTAATTGCCATCAAAGGAATACATATATTTTCAAATAGAAAACAGTTATTTTAAATTGTAATAATATTTCAGAATATTACTGTTTTTACTGTATTTTGTTGTCATACTTAAGCAAATTCACATAAAGGGAACTACTACAAAACTGATGAATGTTCTTATTTACAGCATTACACCATTCAGAAATGTCTTCTCGGCTCACATATTAGCACTGGAATGCTGCAAACACAGAAGCAGAGTGATACCACAGTAAAACATTGTACTGTTCATTGTACAGTACTGTTGGAACATCACAAATTTGTGGAAAAGAACTAATCACTGTATAACATGTATTGTCTTTAATGTCATAATACTTAATGACATTATATTACTAGACTTACATTACAAAGCATCAGGCAAATATCTTAGTGCTGTTGATTTAAAGGCCTCTTTTGAGTGAACTGTTAATATCATTACAGGATGCATAACATCTGCATTTTCAAGCCCATCTGTATTTTCCATTATATACATATATACTCGTGACCCCTACCATCCTGTTTACCATGCAACTACTATTGCTATAGGAGTTCAGTATACATGTTCTTGCAAATCTGTATTCTTGCATTTTGTATTCTTGGTATCAAGAATCTGGGCTAAACTACAACACCGGGCCTAGCAGGGAAGTCAATTCCGCCAGCTTAACCGACAACTCTCTGGCAGATTCAAGGCATTTCATTTACACACTGCTGTGCAGGTAGGGGTTTCCAGTTGATGAATGTGTCAGGATCACTTTGAGCCTGGCGTTGATGTAATATCAAGTCATTGACGGAACATCTGTGGATGGATGTTACCCACTGACCTGTTTTCTGGGACTCCAATACTTCACAGCCAGACTGACATGATATTATCAAATCCAGGCCAGCGTGCTCCTGTCACACTTTTTTGAGGCCAGCTTGTTTCAGGGTTTGTTTCACCAGTTTGTCATATATTACTATTCATACTAAAAATGTCTAAAAACTTCTAGTGACGCACAATAAGTAATCTAATGTTCAAAGTAAACATAATAGTACTTTTTTTAGTGTTATTGTGTAATATCGTACAGCATTAAGGTTAAACTTTGCACTTCACACCCACAAATATGATATGCAAAGTAAGCATGATATGCAAAGTAAGCAGTTCTGTTCTTTTTTTTTTTTTAGAAGGATCATAGATGCTGTATTTTGTCTTCATTGTCAAAGCTGAATTGGAGGACAAATCCTGTAACTCCTCTTTCATTCAAAGGCTCACAAGGCTAATCCTTTCTATTTTAAGAATCAACCAGGCCACAGATTACCCCAACACATGTCTACATTTGTATTTAAACCGAGCTGAGTATGTTTGATATAAAGATGCAGACTAAGAGAAACGGGTTGCAACCTAAATTAAATTTTAATAATAAATCTACCTATAAATGAGTTTACAGTGCAACTGTATTTATACACAATACTTTATGAAAAGCAAAACTGCAAAACAGTTCACCCAAAAACCAAAATAAATACCCTCGTGTTGTTTCACATATGTATGCTGATTTGTTTTGCATTAAACACAAAAGGACATTTCACACTTATCTTTTACGACACAACAACAGTTAATATAGTGACCATCATTCAAGCTCCAAAAAAGCATCATAAAAATGCAATACATAATACAAATCAGAAATTCAGAGGTCATATGAAATTGTTTTCATAGCGTCACTGGGCCACAGTGTTTATAGTTGGAAACTGACCTACTAATGGCTCACTAATGTCTCTGTCCTGTATATTAAACATCAATAAAACTACATACGTCACCTTAAGCACACACTTTCAAAGTCATCTGATGTGCAGCAACTGGAAGCATCTCTCTCTTATTGTCATAGCCGTGTAAAATTTGCTTGTCCGGGGTTTATTTTTAGTGCGCAGCCTCCAGCTGTGTGTCAGAGTGATGAGACGCTGTCATCACGCCAATAACACTGTGAGATACTTGCAATTCTGCACATTTTCAGATTTGAATCTGCCATCAAGCCAGATTAGAATTCATAATTCACACGCCCAGCTCAGCAGATAGCCTACCATCATACGTTTCATTAGTAAACTTTTCTTGGTAAACACTGTTTAATCCTATGAGCACACCTAAAAAGAATCGAATCATTAATCACAATCGAAAAAATATCATCGTGAACTGAATCGAATGGTTCAGAATTTGCAAAATCGTTCTTGAATTGAATCGAAAAAATATGAATCGTGAATCGATTCGCCGTCTACTCAAAAGATTCACATAGCTCAGTTTTATCGCAAAATTCAATCAATCGATTCAAGTGGCAACTTGTTGAAAAAACAGTAGAACTTTCAGAAATATATAATATCTTTTTCAATCGCTAAATCAGCATTTTAACCGCGGATAGACATCAGTAAAACACTTGTAAACAAGGTGTCAAGTAACGTTACGTTTACCTCAGGAAAGCCATTATAATGAACTCTAGATTGGATCATTTTGTTAAATATATAGGCCGTATTACATATTCATTATATTTTTTACTTTACATGCAATATTGTAGAAATATACTGACAGCATTCCTTGCATAGTTTACAGATTACCATATATATTTCCAAATCAAAATGGAAATTGAATGGTGAAATCTGTATCAATACCCAGCCATTTTCCTCAGATTTACCAACTGCTAGTTCCACTAAATGTTCCTGGCCAGGGTGGAAACTTCTTGACAGTAATGCCTTGTGTGTGTGTGTGTTGACTTTGCAGACTGGACTAATAGTGGCATGCTACCAAGGATACGTGGATGTGGTGGTTGCTCTCTCCCAGTGTCCTCACCTGGACGTGAACTGGCAGGACAATGAAGGCAATACAGCCCTCACCACTGCTGCTCAGGCGGGTAAGAGCGATCAAACAGCCTCAATCCAAATCACTACCTGCACATATTTACATTTAGATTACTATAAAGTTTAAGTAACTAGTGTCTCAACATTCAAAGTAAATGGATGAGTGTGAAAACTTCCAAATACTACTAGAAATGAACCGCTGAGTGCCCTAGAAGTGTCGTTACATATTTAACAGCTGACTGCATTTCCATAATTCTCCTGAACAATTGCAGGTCACATCACAATCATTAACTACCTACTCAACTACTTTCCCGGGCTTGACATCGAGAAGAGGAACTGCCACGGTTTCACCGCTCTGATGAAAGCTGCTATACAGGGTCGAGTGGAATGTGTCAGAGCCCTGATGCTGGCAGGTACTCGAGCCTCAGATCACTGTGCGATAGACTGACAGACGTGCCAGGAAACACTACAAAATAAAGCAGCTGTTATATGATTAGCTACAAGACCAGGACAAAATGCAAACATAATCATACCACAGATTTACTAACTGATTTTAAAGGGATAGTTCACCCCAAATTAAAAAAAGTTGTCATTATTTATTTACTCTTATGCCATTCTAAATCCATATGCTGTTATTTTTTTCTGTAGAAAAAAAAATGCAGCTCTTGCTATACATTGGCACTTAAAACAACTTTATTATACAAATCTGCTGGAGTCACACAATAGTCACACAAGTTTTTAAAAAAAAATTTTTTTAGGCTCTTGTTGTTACTGTCTTTTTAATATTTTATTCTTTTTTTAATATTTTATTTTTTTCTAAAAAAGATTTTATATTCTGACCTGTGAAGCTATACAGTTTATGTATGATGTGTGCCATACAAATAATAATACTTATTACAAAAATATTATACATTTTTAAAAATATTTTATATATTTATGCTTTTTTTTCTAAAGTGATTTTATATTCTGACCTGTGAAGCTGCATTTTATGAATGATGTGTGCCACAGGAGCAATACTTCTTACAAAAATATTTATTATTATTAAAAAAATGTTGACATTCTATTTATTTATTTTCTAAAGTTTTATATTATGACCTGTGAAGCTACATTTTATATGTAAAATGTGCCACTCAAATAATGTTTGTTTTTTTTAAATAAAAATTGTTTATTATTATTATAAATAATGAATACTTTTTTTTTTTGCTATGCTTTCTTTTTTTTTTCTAAAATGCTAAAATAATTTTAGGGGAAAAAAAGAAAGCATAGCAAAAAATTCCGTGCTGAATGATTCTGTGCGTGTCATGTACGCGCTACTGTCTGTAGCCTATGTGTGTGCGTTACAGTGCAGCAGCGCAATACATTTTTTCATACAAATAATATTTATATTAAATATTAAAATTTATTAAAAATATATTATCATTATTATTTATCCCCTGTGAATAACGAATTAGATTCCATATAACTTAAGAAGACATGTAGTTCAAGAAAGTAGTGAACAAGCCATATTTGCCACTTTTTTTGGTGTGTTTGTTGTTGAATAGCATAATGATTCTTCCAAATGTAATTCTTTTGTTATAGTCAAATTAATTATAGTCAATAATAGGAATTATTAAACAGAATTATTACAAAATAACTGCTTAACTACATTTTACTGCTAAAGTTACCACTATTTTGAGTGTTTCCGCATGACACAACAGCGGTCAGGTGGCACAAGTCGGAGCAGATTCCTAGTTGTATTATGAGTTCTAGGAGGATGCGAGCTCTTTTCACAAGTCAGATTTATTATGGTAATAACTAATTCTAACTCCAATCACACAATCACATTTGCTTTCTTGATCAGGAGCTGACATAGATGCCAGGGACAAAGGGAGGAAGTTCACTGCGCGAGAGTGGGCCATCTTTACAAGCCGCTATGACACTGTGTTCGCCATGACGCGGCTGATGCAGCAGCCGTGTGCGGATCAGTTCTGCGACACCTATCGGTCTGAGTGGCCCCTTCTGCCTGCGCTGGTGGCCAAAGCTCAGGCGCCCAAAGGCTGCATTCAGAAAATTTCAGAGACACTAAGTGACTTCTTTGACATCAGTAACGTCACCGAGGCGTCAGAAGACGGGGTTCTGGATCACATGGTGCGCATGACAACATCGCTGGGGAGCCCGTTCATCGCAACGGCGTGTCGAACGGTGTGTCCCGGCAGCCCGCCCTGTGTGGGAAAACGCCGGTACTCTGTTCAGGAGATACTAAAAAAACAACGCATCGAGCAGCTGAAAAGTCTGCGACCCGAGCGCCTCGAGAACTACAAACGTCTCTTCCAGAACTCCCGCGTCCTGCTGGTGCCCAAATCGAAAGATCGTCGTGCGAGTCTGCAACCCCAGGCCCAATCAGACGGCTCCTCCTCTTCCTCCCCGGGCATCCGCAGGGCCAGTCTGCTCCCCTTACACCTGCTGAGGAGGAGCAGCGTTAGGCCAGGTATGGTGGTGCCCAAGCTGAGGATTACCAAGGCTGCTTCGTCAACCTACGTGCCGGAGAAAGTGCGGCGGAAAAGCAGCTGTATAGACGACCAGTTCCTCCAGATCCCAAAGTGGAGATACAAAGAACTGAAAGAGGAGCGAAAGAAAGCAGAGGAGGCGGAAAGGAAAAGACTGGAGGCCATAACGAAGAGACAACTCACTACAGGCAAAAGGAAATAAATGTGTGCAGACACACCGCTCACCGTTTTATACTTGAAATGCAATTTTGATGTTGGATTCTAATTTATTTGACTTTTTTTTTTTTTTAAAGACAATTCATTTTTATAAAGCTTCTCAACTCCTTTTAACCCTCTTTAAAATAGGGTAAAGTGAAGGATTTAAAGTGAACAGCTCCTTTAATCCCTTTTCATGTGTTTTGAGCATCAGGAAAATAGCTAATATGGGTAAACTACTAAAACCAGATGCTACTTTATGTTTACATTCTTAAAATCGGGTTCTTTGATTTTTAGAGTTGTCCAAATGCTAGTGTTGTCTCAGATTTAACAGTAGCATTGTGAATGTATTTAACAGACATACTTTGTCAATACCTCATCTTTAAACTATTTTTCTAAACATTGTAGATGTTGATGGTATTTCGGCAGCAGATCTGTCTGTATTTGCACACATTTCAGAGACAAATGCTACAGACAATCACCAACGAGTAATGAAAGACGGTAAAAGAGGTAGTGATATCATGGATCAGCATCTTATTTGATTTTTTCTGTACATTTAATAATTATTTATACTACTAAAGCACTCTAAGTTCATTACTTTAATGACTATGTTCTGAACCCAGAAAAAAAAAACATGTATTGTCTTTTACCAAATGGTATTTGCAACATACACAGCTGCCTGTGATGGAGAGGTACATTTACAAAAAGCTAAACATTTCTTTGCATGTCAAAGTAAATAGTTCTACATGAACGCCAACAATACATTATAAATATATGTCATACACACTACTGTTTAGGGTGAATGAGACGTGTTACAAGGTTACAACAAGGTTACAACATTGATAATAATAAGTGATATATATATATATATATATATATATATACTCCGCAGGGCCAGTCTGCTCCCCTTACACCTGCTGAGGAGGAGCAGCGTTAGGCCAGGTATGGTGGTGCCCAAGCTGAGGATTACCAAGGCTGCTTCGTCAACCTACGTGCCGGAGAAAGTGCGGCGGAAAAGCAGCTGTATAGACGACCAGTTCCTCCAGATCCCAAAGTGGAGATACAAAGAACTGAAAGAGGAGCGAAAGAAAGCAGAGGAGGCGGAAAGGAAAAGACTGGAGGCCATAACGAAGAGACAACTCACTACAGGCAAAAGGAAATAAATGTGTGCAGACACACCGCTCACCGTTTTATACTTGAAATGCAATTTTGATGTTGGATTCTAATTTATTTGACTATTTTTTTTTTTTAAAGACAATTCATTTTTATAAAGCTTCTCAACTCCTTTTTACCCTCTTTAAAATAGGGTAAAGTGAAGGATTTAAAGTGAACAGCTCCTTTAATCCCTTTTCATGTGTTTTGAGCATCAGGAAAATAGCTAATATGGGTAAACTACTAAAACCAGATGCTACTTTATGTTTACATTCTTAAAATCGGGTTCTTTGATTTTTAGAGTTGTCCAAATGCTAGTGTTGTCTCAGATTTAACAGTAGCATTGTGAATGTATTTAACAGACATACTTTGTCAATACCTCATCTTTAAACTATTTTTCTAAACATTGTAGATGTTGATGGTATTTCGGCAGCAGATCTGTCTGTATTTGCACACATTTCAGAGACAAATGCTACAGACAATCACCAACGAGTAATGAAAGACGGTAAAAGAGGTAGTGATATCATGGATCAGCATCTTATTTGATTTTTTCTGTACATTTAATAATTATTTATACTACTAAAGCACTCTAAGTTCATTACTTTAATGACTATGTTCTGAACCCAGAAAAAAAAAACATGTATTGTCTTTTACCAAATGGTATTTGCAACATACACAGCTGCCTGTGATGGAGAGGTACATTTACAAAAAGCTAAACATTTCTTTGCATGTCAAAGTAAATAGTTCTACATGAACGCCAACAATACATTATAAATATATGTCATACACACTACTGTTTAGGGTGAATGAGACGTGTTACAAGGTTACAACAAGGTTACAACATTGATAATAATAAGTGATATATATATATATATATATATATATATATACACACACACACACACAAAAAACAGTTATTCTAAATTGTAATTTCACAGTATTATATATGAAACATTATTATATATATATTAAAAACAGTTATTCTAATTTATATTTCACAGTATTACTGTATTTAATTTTTTTGATTAAATAAATGCATCCTTGTTGAGCAGAAGAGAATTCTTTAAAAACATTTAAAAAATCTTACCGACTTAATTTTGTAACAGTGTTGTAAATTGGTGAATTACTTACAAAAACTGTTTTTACTTAAAAAAACATAAATTTTTTAGCTAAAGATTAGCCATGAATTATTAAACCATTTCCCAAAAACAATAGCTTTGTGGCAAGCTGTGCCAGTGGCTCCCCTAATAGTGAAACTTAACTTTGCCTTCAGATATAGGAAATACTGTTACTAATAATATAAACGCTGAAAATTATTATTAAATATTCTTAATATTTAACCTTATCTTGGATATCTTGGTATATGAAAAAGCAAATAATGTGCAGCAAAGTAAGACTTTACAAAGGTACTGTACTGTACATTAGTAAATATTTTCCTCCCTCATTTGCTTATTTAATTTAATATGTAAATTATTTCCCTATGATTCGATTTAACCTTGACATGACAGTTTACCCCTAACATGGGCCCTATTATAAACACATAGGAGGCATCCTGAAATATCAAATTTTTTTTTTTTTCATTCCTTCTCGCAGGAGGCATCTTAAGTAAAAAGTGGTACAACTTACTCCGCTCTCCCTTATGATTTCTTTCAGAGCTGGAAACAGTTAATTCAAATTCAAACATATCACAACAAATCTCAGGTATGAATGCTTCTGTATGCAGACAAATGCAATGTTAATTTTAAAGAATGTGTAGTGTTATCTGTTTGAAATATCTTCTCACTGACCGTCACATCATCTCAACAGCACCACTGTGCCTCGGTGTCCAACAAAACACACTCCACACAGCTGATTTCACAAAGATGCAAAGACCAGTGCAGACCTAATGTCAGGTCACCCTGTAATCTTAAAGTAACACTGTGTTTACACTACTTTAGGTTGTAAACCAAAAGTAATGACCAGCAATGCTTAGAAGAAAAATCTCATTGTAACTTTTGAATAAAAACTACTTTATAAATCCAAAGTGTGACTCCATTTATTGAACTTTGAGCAGGAGTAAAGGTGAAGCACACACCTTATTAAGCTATTGAGGTCACCGGCACGAGCTGACAGACACCAAGGGACTTGTCAGTCTTGCAAGGTCAGCACTTGCCTCAGGACAACACTGTATGAAAAACAATGAAGTGCCCTCTGCTGGAGAACCAAAGCACTGATGTGGGATCTGTGGTAACGCTGATAGCCTATCAAAGACAAATACACTGAGAAGGCCTGAATGTCAGATAGACCCCAGGGTTTGGGTCACTCTGAACTGGCTTCAAAACCAGTGCTCCATTTCCAGATACCATGCTGAGGAAAAGTACAACCTTGACCTGAAACATGACATTTCGTAAGGGTTTAGCTGCCACTCATGCCTTTGAGGTTCACCTTGTCCGAGTGGGAACAGCAGGTTTGGCCAGCTGGTCTGCTAACGGCACGTATGCATAAGTCTTGCTGCTTTGGGCCCAGTACATGTTGTGGGAACAACCTGAAGTTTGTGGCAGCTGCTGGCTCTTATCGACACCTGAGTGGAACACAAAGTGAACAGAGCGAGATAGGAGGAGAGCTGGAGAACATGAGATAATGAAACAGAGGAAGAGAACGGGGCAAATCCTGAGTGGCATTCGGTTTGGTGGCTCAGCGCCGCATGGGCTGAGGCTGAGGAGAACAGGAAGCTGACGGGCTTTGCCACTCTCTACTAGTTCATAGACCATGAAAAGTAGGCCATGGGATTACACATGAACTTTTCCTGCTGAGCTGAGTGCATATTCTTACTAACATCATTAATATTTAATAGGACAAAACAGACATGGCAATTGTTTTTAAAATTTCAGTGCATCCAATTAGAGTACTGAAATTCCTCTACTTTTTACTCTCCACAAATTCTACAGTTCAGCTCAGATTGCTGTCATGAACAGCTCAAAATGGGATAAAACATTGTTTTGAAGATAATTTTAACCTTGTGTTACTTTTTCTATTATCTTGGATTCTTCAAAACACACACACACACGTGTGCATGTATGTATGTGTATTATATATATATATATATATATATATATATATATATATATACACACACAAATATAGCAATCATATGGTAATTCTAGCATGATTTTTTAAGCAAACATTGAAATTCGTCTTTTTAATCTATATAAATGTCTGCAATTAATTCAATATAAAAAAAAATGTATATGTAAAATTTAAAATAATAGAAAAAAAATATATATTGAATGATTTTAATGTGTCTGTATATGTATATACAAATACACACACACAAACTGGCACTGATGGCTATAGTATTTACCCCTCTATATTTTTAACATTCATTTGCAATCTTTCAATAACTGATTATTCTCCAAAAATTTCTGAAATTAATTCAACCCAAGGCACACAGACTCCCTATTACAGTTTTGTAAATCATTTCAGCCTTACATGTTACTACTTGTTTGTGAAAGCACTGATATTTCCATCAGGCAATGCAATTCTATCTTATGAATGTGTTTTCAAGAGCGAAAAGGCATGTATGGTTTTATATTAACTCTTTATTCAGATAGCCACACCTAGTACCTAATGCCTAATATACAACATTCACCGACTTCAAAAAAAACAAGATTTATACAATTTACATCTCTCTGGAACTATTTATGTAAGACAAAATTAAAACAAAATAAAACACAGCTCCAAGCATCCCTCATGAAGAGGACCCACATAATTAACATGTTTCTGATTAGCGATTTGCAATGGAGCTTTCAATTTTAGTGTTGCAATGATCTACAGGTAAGAAACAGGAAAAGGAATGCGTGTCATGATACTGTTGGAAACAGGACACTTGCAGGCACAGACGGAAGGGGGAGGGGGGCGTACGGAATGCTTGACGGCAAGAGATCCCTGGCAACCTGAGCA